CAATATGTCAGCACATTTATTCTCTGTAAGAATTAGTAATGACCACACACATTCAAATGCATAATGAATTGTTCTTACTGCAAAAAATAGATATTAAACTCACGTATACCTAAAGGCAATGCAATTCATCTTCCCTGTCTAGTGGGATGAAGTGCATTTGTAAAGTGTTTTGGTTCATTAACAGTTCACTAAGTGACAAAATGTCCACCCAGCTGAAAGGGACACCCCAGAAGTGCCTTTATATGCCAAAAATGAACTTTCCTGGTTTGTGTCAGACATAAGAGAAGACATGAGTTAATATTCATCTAACTGAAGCTTACTAGGAGAAAAAAAATAGCTCCACTGTAAGAAAGTTAATGAAGACAGTAATAATGTCTTCTTAAAGAAGAAACCAGCAATACATGAATTGATGGCTAGAGTGAATCTTTTCACTGAAAAAGTCTTTCACTTAGAAAATGATTAAAAAATCCTCTAAGACTACTAAGAATTTAGTTCCTCAATACCACAACTGAAAGGCAATTGTAGACCCTGACCGTGCTACTGTCCTTTGTGCCTCTCCAAAGTACTGCACATGCCTTGTGTAAAGAAAGTTAAATGCGCTCTGCTTTTAAGTCTGATGAAGTACACCCAGGTAAGGCAAGCTGAAGACTTGACATCTCAGAGTAGCAATTTCTTTTGATGCAGTTACCTTTAGAGAGGCTATTGTTTTCTGTAAGACGTGAGGGGAAATAGGTGAAATCATCTCATCAGTCAAGACCCTGGATAACAGTGCGGTTGTAATTCTGCATTAGTCTACTGGTGTATTTGGAAAACATTAATCTGTCTAGGTGTAATGTGAAGCCTTTTCTAAAACTTCTTGGAAAATTTTAACGTAAAACAAAATTAAAAAAACATCCCAAAGCCTAACTCCTCTCCTTGCTTATTTTCTCTTGCTTTTGATCTTTTGGTCTTCCCTCTGATTCTCCATTTCATACTTTCCTAGCATGTACACAACTTCCTTCTGATGGTCTCAAAACACTCCTTTAAACTATCAGGCTGAGCTTTGGTGACAGATAATGCACAAAAGCCAAAATGAATACATGTGCACACTGTACTAAGCCAGGGCGGGGAGAGAAAATTTTAGGACTTAAATTTTTAAATACACACCATCATGTCGCACTAGTTCTGCTGCAGATTTGTTAGTTGTCTTAAGTCATAAACTGTAACAACCCCATGAGTATATGCAGGCCATTTGCTTCACATTCATATGGTATACAGGGATTTGTTGACTTTGCATGCCCACTCATTTAGGAGGAACTTGTCATGCTATTCTTATATCTTATGTCTACGCTATTTTATCCGGGGAACTTCAACAAAATATTATGGCACCAACACCACTAAAATGAGAATACATACATAGCTATTTGTGGCAAAATTTACACTACCAGTTAAATTAAACAGAACATGCAGTTTGAAAAGCATTGCCTTATGTGTCAAAAAAAACCTTCCTCCCAGAAAATATCACAGCCATGCACACTCATGGAGTAGGATTACCATTCTGACTAAAAAAAGATGAAACCTAAGATATACACTGAATTTTATTTTTTTTTCCCCAGCCTAAGTCGACACTTTCCAGCCTAATAATCAGTAAGAAAAACAAGAATTTACAGTTTTGTTACACCTGGTGATCAGAATTCAGAAATATCTGCTCTGGTGAGATCCCATCTGGAGTGCTGCATCCAGCTCTGGAGTCCTCAGTACCAGAAAGACTTGGACCTCTTGGAGCGGGTCCAGAGCAGGCCACAAAAATGATCAGAGGGCTGGAACACCTCTCCTATGAGGACAGGCTGAGAGAGTTGGGAGACTGTATAGTGGCCTTTCAGTACTTCAGGGAGGCTACAGGAAAGGTGGGGAAGGGACTCTTCATCAGGCATGTAGGGATAGGATGAGGGATAACTGTTTTAAGCTTCAGAGTGGAGATTTAGGTTAGATGTAAGGAATAAATTCTTCACTGTGAGGGTAGTGAGGCCCTGGCACAGGTTGCCCAGAGAGGTGGTAAATGCCCCATCCCTGGAAACAGTCAAGGTCAGGTTGGACAGGGCTTTGAGCAACTGGTCTAGCTGAAGACATCCCTGCTCATTGCAAGAGAGGTTGGACGGGATGACCTTCAAAGATCCCTTCCAAGCCAAACTATTCCATGATTCTATAATCTGTTTGAACTGGCAACTGTGTTAACATGTATAAATAATTATTAGAAAACACAAAGAACAAATAAAAGTAAAATAATATATAACAGTGATACCAGAAATTTTTGACAATTCATCAATTGTGTTATCTTGGCTCCCTAGAAGTACACTACTTTTGAAATGCTGAATCACTGGCAGAATCCCTCTTCATAAATGTCCTAAGTGAAAGACATTAGCATTTACTGCCTTAAACCTGCTAGGTAAATCCTACTGCAGAGCCAATTAAAACACATTCCTTGAAACATCTTAAGAATGTTTTTGGTTTTTTTCAGAACTAGTCCTTACTTTTGATCTTTCATATTTCTCACGTAAAGACAACTTGGCACACCCTCTGTTTGCACATCAGTGAAATTAATTCATTCTAGTGGTGACAGTAGCTCTGCGTAAATGAACATCAACATCATTATTATGGCATAAAAATGGTACACCGTTAAGTACACGTACATTAAGGCTTTTGTGTGAGTAAGAGTTAACTTGACCAACTACTTGAATGAATTGTACCATAACCACCACTACTGTCCACATTTTTAGCACTGCTTATTTCCTCAGTCTGCATACACTGCAGCGATGTCACTCTTGGAAACCATTATAGCTGACAGACTAGCTGATTGATTTCGCCAAATCATTGTAAGCTTGTTTAAGAGGATTAAAAAAGCTTTATATTGATTTAGCAATATAAGGTACTTTTAATCACTTTAAAGAGCATCCATACAAGGTGGTTGTATCAATTTAACTGATCAGTTTAGCAGGTGATCCAGTTAGACTGATGCAGCAGTAGTCTAGCTGGTTCACCTGCTAAACTGATCAGTTAAATTGATACACCTCTTTGTGTACAGAAAGTATGTTAAATGAACAACTTGCTCCACAGATAAGAAACAGAGTTCCCGTAAGATATTTTTACATTTCTCACCATTTTATGTGCATCCTCTCCATGTCCCAGGTTTCCTGTCTTTATAGGGCTGCCATATTTACTTCTGGAATTTCATGGACAGCAATATGTGAGTGGATGCTATATGGTTTTCCAATACTTCGAGGGAGCAGCAGATCTACTGCACACAGAGTGCACTGATGATTGGTATGTTTACCATTAATCTGTCACCTCCTGAACTTACCAGGCTTACTCTATGACATATATCAAGCTTCCAAGGAGGTTCACACTTACTTCTACTGCAAAAGTATTCAGAAATTCCTACACAGGCCAGACAAATGTCTTCAAATTCCTGTCAGACAAAATTTCTGACCAGGGAAATAAAATATATGTAAAAATCTTTAAGTATATTCTACCTTTACTATAGAACTGAGTTTCATAAGCGCTACCACACTACTATGAATTACAAGTGATTTTACCCTAACAATCCCAACAGAGTAGGAGTAAGAGAAAAGCACAGCATATGAAAATTAGGATTTTATATTAATGAACATACAACACATATATCTCTACTTGCAATTTTCCCGAACTGTACAAGAACTCACACAAACCTCATTTTCAGGCATTGCATGTTTGCCTAGGTCACGCTGTTCTGTTCCCCCATAACAGTTCCCAAGAAACTGTCTGATACCTCGATAACAAGGCTTTTTCACCACCTGCAAATTTTTGATTTGTATATTCTCAGCATTGACAAAAGAAAATTTGTAATGTGGCAGGAGTGGAGGAAGTAGATTGTTAATGGTTAATAACTCAGAATTTGTCACTTAGCTCTCTTCAAGAGATTGCCCAGAAACCCATTGTTTCATCTTCCAGCTGTTTCCCATCAAATTACTATTAAATTATTCATAAATTATTACATAGTTTCTTCACAGCCCTGCAATACTAATTTTAACAGTTTCAAAGAGGCTGTAAAGTTAGCTTTCAGGTTTAAAAAATGCACATAAGCAGCAGTAAAATATACAGTATGGATTAATAAAATTAAAATCCAATAAGAGCTTTCCCTGTCCAGTATAAACTCTAAAGACTCACCACCACTTCTGGAACTTAGCAATACCCCATTACCATCAGTTGCTAGCACATCTATCCCTTTGAACACATGAAAATATAATACACAGATAAAAATAACCACCAACATCCTTGGCATTTCAACAGTTTCTGAATAAATTAGGCCATTAAAAAGATATTTTATCTACATTATTTAATTCTAACTCCTTCAGACTCTAAATAAAACTGTGCAGGTAAAAAACACAGGATGGCTTCATAACTGTTTCAGGAAAGGATAAATGAGCACACCTTGAGATAATAACTAATCAAAGTGCAAGTACTGTGCCATTAGTGGGTGAGTTGCTAATTAGTCAAAAAGAAATAAAACTATCATTGTAGGCTCAAAAGGAAAAAAATAAGCAATATTTAGAATTTTATCTTGACAAAAATAATAAGCATAATTCTACTTTTTTTTAAAAAAAAAAGTAATCAGACATATATTAAGAAAGAAAAATCTCAGTATTCATTAAGTTAGTCCATTCCAGTAAAAGTAATAGAGAGATAAGCATTTACTTTTCCAAAACACATCATGAAAAAGAATAGTGTGAAGGAAGTGCAGACATACTGCATATCTAGTCCCTTATGCTGCACCAGGACCATTATAACCACATGAATTATTTTGTCAAACTTCTTAGGAAGTTCAGATATAGTCTTAAAATAGTCATTTATCTCAAACTTAGTATGAACAAGGCTACTTTATTCTCCTTAAACCTTAATTAGTGTACTTAAAATGTAAGTTGTGTTATCAAATATAATTAATCATATTTTAGGGTGGGGGTATTTCGAGCTTTAAATTGACTTACATTCTGCTGCTTGGTATAATCTTGTGCCCGTCTCTAAACCATGTCACCTGTGGTCTTGGATAGCTGAGTATGTGTAAGAAGTTTAGAACTGCAGCTTGTCCTTGAGTCACTGTTTTTCTCTGGTTTGTGTCCATGAAATTTCCCATGTCTGCAAAGAAAAAATGATACTAAGAATCCTAGAAGTTCTTTTCTCTCTCCCCAGTTCTTTTCGGCGGACAGAGAAACAAGTGTTTTACAGTAGTCATTGGCATTGCTATAATTAGTCAATATGACACTGCAGATCATGAGACAGTTTTGATTAATACAGATTTGGATGAACATAAGGCATAAGGCAAATCCAAGCGCTGCTAGTGCACACAAGAGGTGCCTCAGTCAGCAGTACTGCATGGCCTCAGTGTTCTTTTGCAATAACTGTTTTTAACTGAAAGTGATATTTTAATGGAGGTTTGGGGTTTTTAAAATAAAACCTTGAACAGCATAAAAGAAATTCTTGTGCAAAAGGAATGCAAAAGAGGTATATAATTTTATAACGTTTTTGGTCACCAATTTTCTTTTTATCCTTTTACACAGAGCTACACAAATAGATGAGCAGCTGTATCACTTGTAGTCAAACCAGTGTATAGTCAGATCTATGCAAGTAAGCCATTATACCCAGATGGATACCAGAATAACAAGGCTATAGTCATGATGTTAGCTACTAGTTCTTCTGGCACTGCTCTACAGTTTAAATAGCGTATCTAGATCTTTGACATTTACAAAGGCCTCAGTAGTATTACAGAGCAGTTTTTAACAAAAGATTTAATGGAAGAAAGAAAACACCAATTGCAGAACCTCTTTCTCTGAAGACTTTATTTCACAGGCATGTTCATGTATCTATGGAGTCTTTGTAAACATTCAGTGAACATTTTCTTGTTCTTCTTGTTGAAGACCAATAGCATTCTGGCTCATATCAGAAACAGCATGATCAGCAGGACTAGAGAAGTGATTGTCCCCCTGTACTCAGCACTGGTAGGCTACACCTCAAATATTGCATCCAGTTTTGGGTCCCTCACTACAAGTCATTGAGGTGCTAGAGTGTGTCCAGAGAAGGGCAATGAAGCTGGTGCAGGCTCTGGAGCACAAGTCCTGTGAGGAACAGCTGAGGGAACTGAGGGTGTTTAGCCTGGAGAAAAGGAGGCTCAGGGGAGACCTCATTGCTCTCTACAACTACCCAAAAGGAGGCTGTAGCAAGCTGGGTGTCAGTCTCATAAGTAACAAGTATTAGGATGCGAGGAAACTGCCTCAAGTTGCACCAGGGGAGGTTTAGATTGGATATGAGGAAAAATGCCTTCACCGAAAGGGCTGTCAAGCATTGGAACAGGCTGCCCAGGGAAGTGATGGAGTCACCGTCTCTGGAGGTGTGTCTTTTTAACCTAAACAGTTCTGTGATGCTATGGCCTTTTGTATCACGTTCCTATCCATTAAAATTAACAGGGCTGTAGGCTCCTACTTATTCACCCTCCAAAGAACTGCTATGCATTTTAATATGCTTTAAACTAAAAAAGCGACACACACACAGAACACACACACATTTTTTTTTTTTTTTTTTTTTTTTTTTTAATTTAAGTACCACCGTGTTCTTTACAATATCTCTGCTGCAGAGACAGATGCAAAGAACATTGAAACATAGAAGACTGCTATCAGGTCTGTGGATGGCAGGAGATGAGGAGAGACAGAACAAGAGCAGAAATTAAAAACACATGGTATTTTAAAGAACCTTTAATCATCTTCATGATTTTCAAGTTATTTATTCAGACATAATCAGCATTGTACTTCCTCTGTTGCTCCATATTTTTTACAACTGTAATCAGATCATCTACTTGAAAAGAAGTTTCAAACTGCGTAGGTGGATCTAATTAACTTCACTGTCATATGATTATTTTAGTCTTCACAATCCAAGTGTTTTTAAGCCCATTCTGTAATTAAGATTTACTCAGCAGTTTTCTCATAAATATCTGTTCCTATTCAGTTAAGTAATATGTTAGCATGTGTTGAGAACATTTTTTAAATTATTTAACAAGTTCCCTGCTACTTTAGAGATCTAGGACATGGAAAATACCTCAGATCTTTCTCAGTGCACATTACAATTGTGCCTTTCAATTTTTCACTAGAGCTCTTGAGCTTAAGTGTATTGGGAAGCATCCTCTATGCAGTGGAAAAAATAGTTCATCTCCTGTGAACCCTTCTGAGTTAAACTTCTAACATACAGTTCCCTGTAACTCCCGATGGCTGGATAAGATGACTTTAGTAACCCCTTGGAATGTTGCTTTCTGATACATTTTCAAGAAAAACCAAGACGTAAAATATGGTAAAATATCAGGTACTTCATAATTAATTTAGATTGAAAATGTTAAAATACAGAAAGCAATCGCATGGTATCACTAGCTACCCTGGGTAGAGGAGAAAAAGTATATTTAAAATTTGTAGAATACTTTAATCTGCAGGAATAAAGCACCAGTCTGACTGGCAAGTGTCATTATAGAAGTCATATATGTCACTATATATCCAAGACCAAAGATCTCCCAAGTCTTATAAGATCTGCTTTGCTTCATCTCAATTTATCAGTGAAAAACAAAAAAAACCCAAACAAACAAATAAATAAATTGACTGCTTAATTCAGACAGAGAAGTCTTTAAGAGAGAGATTTTCAGCCTTGTTCTGTAATGCAGAACTACAAATTAAATGGGGGAAAAAATTAAAACCAAAGAAAAGTAAACAATTATACTTCTTTCTCTCTCAAGAACTACCAAACACGTACACACAAAAAAAGCCTGGAGAAACAAAACACTTCACTGCAAATCTTTTCCTCATTCAGAGGGGAATAAAGCTCTCTTTTCAGGAGAAAAAATTCTTTAGCAGCAGTATCAAGGTAAAGTGTTCCTGTGCCTCCCTCTCACTATTGTTCCCACAAGTACTTCCCCAGGAATTGCTCCCTTCACTATGCCAGTACGACTGCCTGCACAGCTGTGTAGGGAATCAGACCGGGTGGCAAAAAGAACTATTTTAACAAACCCTACAAAATAATTGTTGCTTATTTTAAATTTTGGAGAAGTTTCCCAGTCCACAGCTGCACAAACAAGTTTTCCTGCTGAGCCTAAAGGGATAGTGTACTACACTGCAATACAAGAGCCGGAACAACGAGCGGGATGGAGGAGAAAATGGGTTCATTTTTCTCTGGTACTGCTACCAAAGCCTTTGTCCCCTGAAACCACACCTGTAGATGCAACTCCAGAGGCATCTAGGCTAATCTAATGGCTCACTGCTGCAGAACGAGAAGCATCTCACCCTCACCTGCCCCTGCTCCCTCTTCCCCTTCTAACCTTGTTGGAGGTCCCCCACCCCACTCATAGTTATGCTAAGTCACACCAGCTTTCATTAGATTTCTGTCATCTGATCTCATCCACTAAAACAGAAGAAGAATATTCAGAGAAGTACTTGCAAGTGTCTGACATGTCAGAGCAAGCACAAGGTGATAGGAGGTGTATACAGCAGGGAGAGAAGGGTTGGTAGAAGGCAGGAAAAAAAAAAATTATCAGAAGTTTATTTTTATATTAGCTCCTGCATCTCTGAAACAATATCATTGAGAAATGAAACATCAGATTACTGGTACTACTGACATCGTAACACAATTTACTGTAACATAGTAAACTGGTGAACATGATAGCAAAACTTACATGCTATCACATTTGCAACTGTTTTTGTTTTTAAAACGCAGAAAATTCCACATAATGTTCTTCCTGACATAGCGGTCAACTTGAATCAGATTATTGGAACTGGGTTTCTAATAAATAATTCAATTTATTAAATTCCACTTATCAAGTGACATTTACTACTACAAATTTTCAGTTACTGACCCTGAGAAAGAGAGATTTGACCCATGTATAAGATTGCTTACAGGCAGTATACAAATATGTCTTAAAAAAAAAAAAAAAAAAGTTTTTACTTTGAAAGAAGAATAATGCCTAATTTTATGATTATTCCCAAAGAAGTTACTTGGGTTATATTTTCTGTATGTTAACTGAAAAAATTATTCAGTCATTTCTAAGGTCATATTAACTAGTACTTCTGAGAAAATCAATTTAACATTTACAAATATAAGTTAGATACCAAATCAGAGGTCAACTCAAAATTCTGCTTAGTCCAAAGGGAAGCAGTACAACCATTGGAGGGTTTGGTTCAGAATGGTGTGAGAACAGACTTCTAAAGTTTCATTAGAAAGGTTTTCACTGTGAAACAACTGCTTATTTCGTATTGCAAGGATTATGATCTGAAAGCTATCTATACCACACAGTTTTCTTTCAGATATCCTCTACTGTCCTCTGGGCTCTTTTTCTGTTGTTGTTTTGATTGATTGTTTGTTTTGTGCTCTACAGCCTTTCTTGATCCCTGTGCATTCAGGGAAAGGTATAATAGCTTTCTCATGCTACAGCTATCTCCAAATGATCTCGTTTTGATGGCTTTGAAAAGCTCAAAGGTTGTTCTAAAGACTTAACACTGCTCTACTTCGAACAGTTTCCCAGAGATAACTACAGTAAGTGTGAAACTTCCTGTGATGCAATAATTTTAAAGCTTATTAAATATGATATCTAATAACTTTTCAGACTAGCAAATGTTATTGGTACATTGTGTTTTTATCCAGAAAAAGAATTAGTTATCTAATGAATCACAGAATAACTTTCACTCAAACATACATGCCACTTGAACTTCAGATCTTCTTTGCAGCAATGCCCCCATCCTGTTCCGTACAACACACTGATAAAAGCCAGCATCAGACCTCTGCAAAGCTGGGATGGTGTACCTGTAAGACAGAAAGCAGAATTGCAGTGCACTTCTTAAAGGTCAAGCAGCGTTACTTTCTGTGGCATCTCTTATTTCTCCAGTAATATTTTACACATTGTCTCAAAAGCTTATTGTATTTTTTCTTACATGCAGCATTCTCATACAATCTCTGGTCTTTGGCTACAATAATGTCTGTACTATACAGAAGAAAAAAAATACTTGAAATGCATAAAATATCTTTCAGTCTTAAGATCTATATTTGATAAATACTAATTAGTTCTCCACATATTCTCTTAAAATATAGACTTAAACGTTTTCCTCAGTTTTATCTACACTCATTCATAAGGCAAAGGTGCCTGGTAGTTTGTTCAGAGATGGCACAAGAAGACTGGAATCTAAATGTAGGCATTAGGGAGACTTGCAAGAAATATCGAAGCTTTCCAATGAAAAAAAGATGGTTATTACACTGTGTGACCACTGTAACTTAGAAGAATACTGGAAAAGACACAGTGCACTGTACCTTGTATTTGTTCTGCCCTTCACTACGCTTAGGAAGTCACTTAGTCCACTAATGCTCACCTTCCTCATTCAACTGTATCTGATTACTCAACATGAAAATGAGCTGATAGGCACAGTTTTAATGTGAATAAAACACATGAATAATATAGATAATCCTGCATTAAATAAACATTAATCAAAGCGCATATTCCCTCGGTCACCTTCTGGAGATATTATGGTAGGATTAATGAAAGTCTTTATGAAAAGATAAGAAAAAAATAAAACTGCTGAATTTTAATCTTCAAAATTTAATTCTGCTAAAAAAAAAAAAAAAAGCACCTCTTCTCATACTCACATATACACATACACAGAGCTTAGTATCTGAACAGGATCAGACAGCATAAAAACAAAGGAGGTAGAGGAAATCTAGTTTAAGTGATAAATGAAGACTATAATCACTGCATTATAATTACAGTCAAATAGTCTATAGCAAATAGGTCAGTCAACCAATTAAAGTAAATTAGAAAAGAGCCCACCACCAAAGACAATTTTTGTCAATCTACTGTGATTCCTCGGAGACCCTGGCTTCCTACGTATATGAGTTGTAGGCAGTTGTGTTGTCTGTCTGCCTGTGTGCCTAAGCTGACTCCTCGTGACCTCCTTTGGAGCAAGTGGCAAATTTTCTCTAGTGATTGTGACAATTTGTACTGGGAAGATAAGGGAGACTCTCTTTGGAAATAGTAAACCTGAAAATCAGCACACAAATACTTGCTGGCCAGTGAGTATATAACTCTGAATTAGCTATGTTGCCTCTTGTCTGATGTGTATATCATAGGAAATACAGTGAGAAAATAGGTGAAAATACCAGGCATAGGATAGAAATCAATAGGACATAAGGCTTCCCTAGCTCCTTACAGAATAATTTCCTTCTCTGCCAGGCAGATGATTGTTGCAAAACATCGTTACAAAAAACCAAAACAAAACAAAAAAATTTGAGGATTCTGACAAATAAATATTGACAATTCATTTTTACAGTTCATTTTACCAAACACTTTATACCTTAACAAGTTTTTCTTTTTCCCATGAAGATTTAATGTGGTACTTGGCTAATATTTATTCCTCTGCTTGTCTATTAAATAGAGACAAAATTAAAGACTTTGGTACTAAGACAGTAACGTAGTTGTTTTTTCTGCCACTAGGACAAAACAAATGTATTGGGTCAGAAGTGTCCTACTTCTGTTTTCTTTTATGAGTTATTAATGTTTCAGTATGAAACATTCTTAATATGTTGCCTGAAGAAAAGAAAATATTTTTTAAATTTACAGTGGAAATCCCATCTACCTTGGAAATCCCAAGGCAGCCCAGACCTACTGAGTAGCTGACAGTGGACCTACTGGGTAACAATGTGCAGGTAAGACAAGCAAAATTAGAAGTAATTAACAAAGGTGAAAGAGATATAACATGTTTACAGTATTTGAAACTAACTTGAAAACTACAAACCTGGTCAAGAGATAAATATTCATGGAATTTCTGTGTTTACAGAATTTTAAAGCCTTTATGCACCTCATATGTCCGATTATTTTTTAAAATCTAATTTTCTTTTGACCTAACAGTCAGAATATTGCTTTTTGTGTTATGCTTTCACCATTCTACTTATTTTCTGATATGCAATAGTGCTTTCTAAATTCAAAATAAGACTTTCTTCCACAAATGAATTTATATCAAAGGTTACTACAACTTTTTACAATGACAAGAAATAATTTTGCTTTAATTTTTTCTACAGTCTTCAGGATAGAACATCTTCCCATTGTATAGACGGCAGGAGGCTACTTAAGGTTTCTGGGGATCTGTACAAATAAAGTCAGACTAGACCGTTTCTCTGTTTTGAATGGTACAGTCAACCAGAAACTAGCTGTTTAGAAAGTTTCCATAGAAAGATGCAAAGCAACAAACATAAAATAAACCTTCAAGGGAAGTCTTCCAGAGCATAACATGCTCCATCACTAGGACTGCAATGAGTTTAAGGATGAAGTGGTATCAAACACCTAAGGAGAAATTCTAGCTAACACATTCCATTCTTAATTTCAAATTTACACCTTCATTTTAATTTTAAATGCTCTAAGAGTTAAAAGTGAACCTACAGGCTACAGGTTTTTAATAGGCATAATTGTGAAGACGGAATTAAAACCAAATGGATTTTATTAGATAATCATATAACTTACTATCTACTGAAATTTTCTAACAGGGATGCATCAACTTATCTAACTTTTTATACAGAATAAAATCGAAACATGTACAATGTTAAAAACACAAACATAATAATCAGATACTTTTAAGTAGTTTGGCAAGGAAAGTGTACTGCTGTTTAAGACATAATCTGTGTCTTAAATTCAAATAAATTAATATCTTTAGGCCACAAAAGCACATATGAAAGACACACCTGGTCCAGAACTTAATTCAAAGGAAAACAAAGGAAAAAAGAAAAGAAAGAAGTTGCTGCCTGAACTTCTGGAGTCTTAACTTACAGATACAACCAAAATTGCTACTGCAGTCCGTAATATTGATTTGTTTTCTTTACATATATCTCAGATCACAAAGAATTTATAAGGTTGTTTTATAAATTCTTAATAGAAGCCAGCGTATGCACAGTCACTATAAAAGCCAGGCTGTGCACATAATCAGCATCGTTATACAAAGAAAAGCTGTTCATTCAGGGTCACCAATGTCAAAATGCAAAGACTCCAATTAGTTCTTTACTCACTTGGTGTGTTATAAGCTTTGAATATTTTCATCCTGTTACAATATAGACATTACTTTAGCTGAGACACACTAAGTAATATCAATTACCAAAAATTTTTGATTGATGATTCAAATTGCAGCGGAAGTCACTTACAGAGGGAAGATTCATGCATTTAAACAGAGTATTTACCCAAGAGAACTGCAGAGCAAACTATTATGGGGTCAAAGTTTAAATTTTGCAACTGGAATTTATATGTCTAAGCATATCTTTTCCTCGCTTTCATTCATCCTAATGCACCTATGCCATATAATTCCTTTCGGAAGCTTAAAGCTTTGCATTTCTGTAGAATCAAAATCTTGTTTGGCTTATCTCTGACTGTGGTATAGTAGTAGTAGTAGCAGGGCTACAACTTCTAAATTAATATTTTCTATCAATGTTATTTTATTATTATAAACCAGTAGTTTCCTATTTTCTTAATCACCTCTGCAGCAAATATTTTAATTAGAAATAGAAAAGAACAATACAAAAAAATGCAAAATTAATGAATATAGCTTGTATCATGACCTGAATTCACTAGACTAAATTAAGTCCAATGATAAGAAACAAGGTGCTGTATACAGATATGTATACATTCTGCTTGGGAAAGGTGTTCCAACACACTGATTCTAACTTATACTGCAATAGACAGTAAAATTATTATTTTATATTAGGATGTGCACTAATTTAAGAAACATCATGGCATTCCGATCTTAGTTTTGAAATGTCACACATTCTTATTCAGGTTTCTTCTACTATCATGAAATGTAAGTCTCTCAGTGACTAGCACATCTACAAAGCTTGTGTTCTAACCTTTGCTTTTTGTTGATTCCACGTTCATGTGGTTTTTTTCTCCCACACGATTTCTTTGGTTTCTCAGCACCTTACATGGTTAAGAGCTGTTGTCAGCTTCTTCTACCAAGAAACTACAGCAGTCTGCTGGTTTTGATCAAAACAAGTACATTGACACAAAGTGATGCTCGAACCTGCTGCAACTAATTGTGCTATTAGAGATTATTTTCTAGAAAACCTCTTCTATGTGTGTGTATGGCCCATTTTGAGGTATCAGCGTATCTCAAGGTTTGAAAACAGCAACCATTAATAGATGCAATTACTCAAGACTAAGTGGTCTCATCTGAATCAAAAGTCTTTAATTTCTAGGAAAGTTCACATAGAACTGTATGTTTGGATGGCAAACATAGTTGCTAAATGACCAAAAAAAGTTTTTAAATGCTATATAAGGGACTTCTTTTCCATACTGCTCCGTAAATATAAACAACATTGAAAATATAACTAATGTTCGGTTACAATTTTGAAAATCTTTAAGAAAAGTAATTATTGACTACCTTGTGTAGCAGTATAGAAGATATCATTATCTCCACTTTTACACTAATCTATACGGCAATTTCTGTCTATAGTGATGAAGCACAATTCTTCTCTACATTAAGTAATTTTTGTAACTACAAAAGTGCAGTATTTAGCTTGGTTTGCTAAAGATACAAGTGTTATACAAGGGCTCCTTCTGTCACATACCCACCCCTCATAAATTCTGAATTTTCTAGGTAATTTCACAAAGTTTGAAAGCAACAGGTAAGTTACATAAACACGACATTTCTATAAGGTTATAGAAATTGCCAGTTGCATAGGGGAGATGAAGTTAATGCTCCCGTTAAAGAAAAGCAGACAAAATTTAGCTGGTTTGTGCTTTGATATTTGGCCAGCCATCTGCTGCCTATCAGCAAAAATGTAGCGTGATTAGCCACAGTATGGTTTTTCTCTTGCTTGATGGGTTTAATGGGGAGGGAGTCAGTGAGGTCCTGAGAGCAAAGTACCTAATCATAGAAGAACAGTTTGTTAAACTGCAAGATTAATTTTTGCATTCTCAAAAGTGAAACCAGAAGTTTTCATATACTATTCAAGATAGACCCCATTCTTCTAGATCTTATGGGAATAGTCTCACTGAGCTCAGCTTTGTTCAAGGATGAGTAGCACATCATGTGTAATATTTAGCTAAGGAATACACCTGCTGTTTATTACAGATACATATAAGATTACACCTCCAGAAAAAAGTATTTTTGGTAGTTTAAAATTTTATGTTAGGACCCTTGTTTTGAAGTGTGAAATATAATTTTTAGCAAAGGAGATTCCCTCAAACAAATCTTATTTGTTTGCAAAAACCAGTCTTCTGTGCATCAGTATCTACAAAGTTGTTTTGAGGTATTGGTAATTTAGGGAGGTGTGTTTATTTGTGGGGGTTTTTTTGCAATTACATTTGGAGAAGGCTATTTATTATATAGCTTTTATTTACTTATATTCACTGGAGTAGGCGGTTATTTCACTGTCATTGTGCAACCACTTAAATTCCAAGGGCCAGCTGCCTTCGGCAAGGCACGTAAGTACGAGTCGATTTCCTTCCAAGTGTATCTGGGGCAAGCCTGGTTCAGTCTTGAAGTATGGTGCAACATCATCTGAAATACAAACAGAAAATTGTTTTATAAGCTATTTAAGTGGGTATATTATAAGCCACCGATATTTAGCTCATTTCTTCTCAAAATGGCCATCGTAGAACAAGAGACAACATGATTCAGTAGTTAAGGTTTACACTGTTGTATTCATAATTAAGCATTATTTTAGAGGCAGAATTCACAAAATCTTGATAACCTTTATCCTTGGTTCTTATTTAGAAGAGAAGTGCCCACACAGAAGCTTTTGTCCATGTTTACTGTTTATACATATAAGAATTTCAGCACTGTCTGCTGTGGCAGGCAGTGAACAGCCCTATTGGCTTTTTTTTCCCCCCTCTCCTCTGTGAGGATTTTTTTTTTTTTTTTTTTTTTTTTTTTTTTATTTCTTGAATAGAAACCAGAAGAGTAATCTTGGATAGAAATGATTATCACAGCAGGGGAAGTCTCAGGGTAAATGAAGAATTTTGATAGAAAAAAGAGTTTAGAAAAAAAAAAACACTCGCAAAATCACAAGATTAATGTGTTTTTCAACGTTATTGCCAACTAAAATGTGTTAAATTATATTACCTGAAACCACTAACAGATTTTGAATTAGGGCACTTCAATAATGTTCAAGGGTCACATGCAGTCTCAAACACTTGTTCTCCCGTGGATCAGAAATGCTCAAAATACTCCAAGCAGCAAAATTCTCGACCAGTAAATTGCCAAAGCTCCACTCAAACGCAGATTTATTACAAGTCCACACCTGCTGGACACGCACCCCTTGCCACCGCTGGAAGATGAAGGTTTTCACACTTTCCATGTCAAATTTCTACTTGTAGTAGGAACTACAGACTTAAATCTTAGAAGCTTACAAATACCTTGTATAATCAAAACTAACATGTTTATGTATACATATAAAACATGCAAGTTATATTCAAAATCAGGGATTTAATAAAAAATATGGAATAATATTCAATAGGTTGATGTTACTGCATCCTGGTTTTTAGGAGTGCAGTGTGTGTGTGCATATTTTATACACAAAATAAAGAAAAAGTATACATATATGTCCCAGTGCAACTAACCGTTCAGTTAAACTGCTAATCTTTCTTTTAAAACTTACTTTAGATTAAGCTCAGGTATTTTTATACTTGTTATTTGAAGAGTTTAAGCTATCTTTTACAGTTTATGGGGAAGTGACCTCGTGTACTATTCAAGGTTGTCTGAAATTTTGGAATCCACAGGTCACATACTATAAACTTTCATAGCTGATAGCGACAAGACAGCAACCACACACTCTGGGGAAGAAGGAAGTCGAGCCAAGGGGTGTCAGTGATTTCAAGGTGCCCTCACGTTCCACTGAAGACTGGAATGGCAGTGGGTATGCAGCTCGGCCTGGTGATGTCAACCTCTCTAAACCCTTATCTTTCGCTTTGCCTCTTATCAGGGAATTTTTATTACTTAGCAGACCGCATGGTGCCACAGACTCATTATCAGCCTAACGGTACAGTCCCCGGGTAGCAGCTGCGCTTCAGCTGAGTGTGGTCAAGGAGTCACAAGCTGACTGTTGCCAAACTATTTGCTACAATTGGCTATCAAGTTGAACATCAGCTGCATACACAATTGATGATTTGCATTGACAAATTGTCTCCCTAGTTTTCAGAATTTAACTTCAGAAAGCTGTAGTTATTTCTGCAGAAAAAAAAGCAAATCATCATCAACTTATAAACTATTCCTCAAAATCTGACCTAACAAACTGAAAAATAAACTAAAACAAACTAAAAAACTTTGTTTTGAGATAAGGCCCTTTTCTGATTTGTAGCATTTTGAAATGCTGCAATGCTAGTTGGAAAACCAAATTGATTAATGGCTAATGCAGATCAGTAATATTTTCTATAAATTGGATATACAGGTAGCTATAACAATTCAAGGTATGAGAACACAGGAACAGTTTCAAACTAGCAGACAGTCCCAGACAAACCAAAGATGGGTTTTGCACTTCTCCACTCTATTACATGAGATTATATTCTGCAAAACTGCTTTTTTTTTTTTTTTTTTTAAATGACTGCAAATATTGTGAAGAAGTCTTAATTCCCATTTTCTCCTAATTCGTAAAATCAACCAATATTTTAAAACTTCACAAAGAAAAATTTGTCAGAGTTAGATGGTGTTAGTGTGAAATACGGTTATTTTACCCAGAGCAAAAAGCAATTTTTTACAAAGATATTTCTAAGAAAGTGAGGAAATGTTAAATCTTCTCAAGAGGCTTCGCATATACTTTGGGGAGTCTCCCAAAGGAGTTCTGAGGCAGACATTCGACCCTTGCTAGATTAAAGGTGTCAGGCTTCCTCTAGAGATGAAAAGACAGTGGCAGGGAGTGCTGGTATGTAGGGGAAGGATTGTAACAGAGTCCAACTGGTAAATTGAAATTATTAGTGCCAAGTCCCCTGAAAACAATGACATTAACCTGCTAGTATATAAACGCTCATGAAATGATCTGTTAAAATCCTCCTTCTTGAAGAAAGTTGAGACATCCAGGGAGATTACAATGAAACTGGTATCTGCACTATAAACCTCTGAGTAATTTGTTGATCCTGTTTTTCAGTGATTTAAAGACTCAAGCAGTATAACCTCCTTCATTATTTCACTCTGAATTATCCACTTACTCCTTCTAACTTATGTCTTTCCAAGAAAAGATTATTTATTTGAAAGACAAAGACTGCTGCCCACAAGTCTATTATTCAGCCCTACATTTCCCACTCAAATATTCCAAACCCAGTGATGCTGCAACCCACTCAGAGTTATCTCCCATTTAAAGTATCACAATCAAGCTGGTATTACATGAAAATGATTCTCAAAACTCAATCCAATTTTGGTAGAAGCTAAAATTTAATAGACCTATGGGAATATTTTTATAAAGAATATAGCATGCTTTATAAATTACCCCAGCTCTCTGGAAGATTTACTTAAACCCTTGAAGTAATTTTATCTTCTAATCTTTTATTCCTGACTTTCTCATCAATCACATACCATCAGTTTATCAAATTCAATTATGTAATCAGAGCTCACTAAATATGCACTGAAAGCAGAAATGAAAATAAAATACTGAGCAAAGATTCCATGAAAAGAGGTAGCAGTAAAGCTTTGATGACTTTGGCATTTCTGCAGCACGGTGCTGCTCACACCTCAGACACATGATCAAAATGGTGCTGTGCTGCACCCTAAGCTTTACATCTTTAAGCTGTAATGGAAAGCTGAATTTTAAACCGGACCTATAAGGACAAGTTTGGTTGTTACAGAGCGTCCCAGAGTAATGGGAAAATTGGCAGGAAAAATGAAAGCCATCTGAGGAAAAAAATTGTACAACAGGAGTAAATGGTTAAGGGATGGAAGATAAGAGGGTCATTTAATAGGTATGAGACACTTGCACTTTATTAATTAAATACAGGAAGGGCTCACCATAAGGCTAACCTTAGCCAATCAAGTGTTTATAGAAGCCATGAGAGCATCTCAGTTTTTTTTCCCCTGAAGGATGGAGCAAAAATCTAATAAAAAGCCTTTCTGACTCCTAGAAACAGGAATAATAAAATACTGGAATTAATATTCTTAGCTAAAAATAGTTTTGTGCTTACAAAAAAAAAAAAAAAGCAAGCATTCATACTATACCCTGTTGCTTTCTTCTAAATGTTAAATGTGTTAATACTTCCAGCCTCTCTCTGCTTTTCAGATACACTGATTTAAAAATAAAAATAATTTTAAAATTATGTGAGTTCCAAGGCGGAGTAAAAGGATAGCACATATATGCAGCTTCTACAAATTTTCATTAAGACTGCTTACCAAATTCACTAACATCCTGACGAGTATCCTTAACAGAATGGTGCAGATTTATTTTTATGTAAATCACAAGAAAAAATAGAATTGAATATGCCAAAATTATGTAGAAATTTGCTCTAAAATATGCCTGCCTTGCTTTTGTGCATCATTAAACTGCAAGAGTTCCATTACACTGCCAGGTTAGCCCATCTATTTTCTTTCTTTGGTACATGCAAAGCTTAGATGGATTTTACCTCCAAATATAGTTTCAGGACTTAATTCAACAATGCCCGTACACTTTGGTTTGGATTAATGCTGACATTTAAGTACAAAACTGGTGCTGTATGCAATTGTTATCTGCTCTGGGCTTCTCCCCAGCCCTAGCAGGTGAGATGCATCACAGAAAAGCTGAGAGCTCACTCATACTGTATTCTCCCTGAAAATCATGTTCAGGCATGAATTTACAAATACAGTCTGTAAGAGGAGAGGGCAGTCTGACTGTACAGCTTTGTACTGAATGGAATGAAAACAAAAATTCCAAGAGTTGCTACTCATTAGTTAACCAATGGAACCCAATCTCATAAGGATAGCATGAGTCAACATGACTTCTGAAACTGAGGAGTACCATCTCCAGGACCTCAAACATACTCTCAAAGTTTGGCTAATGGTTCTTAGCTCTCCAACAGCTTACAATTGTAAAATACATAAAGCGAAGTCAGATTAAATAGATTGTTCAGTTACTACAGAGTGCTACAAGATCTTGAAAGTAATCTTGCAGTCCTATCCCTCAGGAATTCATACATTTTAACTGAAGATGCAATTTGATGCTGAACACCTCTATCCCCCTGAGAGGAGGAAAGTTACCACACTCCAGAAGTACCACATCACCTTCATCAGTAAAAAGCGCTGCAAATACCCTGTTAAAATCTCAGCATTGTTTTTGCCTCCAGGAATGTTGGATAATGACAGTTATAGGTAAAATCACATGCTTACATCTTGACAAAATTAGTTACTTCAGTTCTGAACACACACAGCAGAAGAATAATGTAGTGAGTGCACAGAACAGGTTAAGAGAGCCTCACTGCCACTGCTATTTGTTATGTATCTCTACTTTTAAGTCATTTTTAGGTAAGCCAATATTGAATATTAAAAGTAGATTAGCCTGAAGTCAGAGCAAATACAGCTCAATCATTAATAAATACCATTTGAGT